AAAAATGAAACAAAAAACAATGTTACATTCTTCAGGGATGATGGTTATAATGACGGTGACCATCAAAATCTCTCTGGAAACAGTTTAGAAAGGGAAGTCTGATCAGTGTAACCTGTAGAAATCTCTCTCTGAGAATTTACCATAGTAGTACTTTGCCAAAACATATGTGTGAATAATATGGGCTTTATTAGACAAGTTAAGCAAAGAATTTTAGTCTGTTACTCCAAGAAACTTGTTTGTTCCAAACAAGTGTTGTGTTTTATTCAATATGTTTTATGTTCAAGTAGCATAATAGCAAAATGTCTAACGGAACTACTTGAAATAGTCCATACTGTCAGCTACCAAACAATTTGTTTCCAGATTGCATTCTGCAACTGTCCTTTTTCAACACAGGTTCTGATGCACTAAGAAACAGAGTTGTAACAAGGATCGCTGATTTCCAAGAAAATTACTTCAACTTTTTCTTAGCCTTTTCTGTCCTACAGATTTGAAATATTTAGGAAAACATGTAAACCAATGAAGAGGACTTTTCCAGATGGGTTTCCAAAAAGATGTTTCGTCTGTGTTAACCACTTCAAGACCAGGTGTTTAGACCCCCTTCCTGGCCAGGCCATTTTTCAGTATTCAGCGCTGCGGTACTTTGACTGACGTTTATTCCGTCATGCAACGCTGTACTGAAATTAATTTTTCTCCATTTTTTGGGGACAGATAGGGCTTTATTTTGGTGGTATTTAATCACCACTGGGGGTTTTATTTTTTATTATAATTAGGAAAAATTACTGAAAATTTTGAAAAAAAAACGTTTTTTTTAACATTATGTTAGGAAACATTTATTATTACCCAGTTTTTTGGTCAAATATAAAAGATCGGGTCACGTCGGTTAAATAGACACCAAACATGTCAAGCTTTAAAATTGCGCGCACCCGCGACATCGCAGAAAACGACCGCAACCAAAATTAGCCATAGGCGACGCTTTAAACGTTTTTACCGCTCATCAGTTTAGTGTTATCAGTGATTGATGGCCCTAGACTTATTGCTCTCACTGTGACGTTCACGGCGATTTGTAACATGTGCGGCGTAATGGGCGCAATCGTCTTTTTTGCACGTATGCGCCCCCGACGCATGTATGCATGCGTGTATGTATGGGTGGGGACTTAAAAATAGTTTTTTTTTAAATTCTTTTTTATGTGTTACTTAAAAAAATTTGGAGGGGACTTTAATTTTTTTTTCCACTAAACTTTATTGCTATCACATACGGGGGCTAATAAACCCCCCCTATGTGATAGCAAAATATGTGACAGGTCCTCTTTATGGAGACATCAGGGGTCTCCAAGACCCCT